AAATTTCCTACCATAAATATATCAAAACATAATTTAAGGTGATTTTCTCAGTATTTTGAATTTTTTGCACCCTCAGATTCCAGATTTTCAAATAGTTGTATCTCGGCCAAATATTGTCCTATCCTAACAAACCATACATCAATGGAAAGCTTATTTATTCTTATAAAATAAAAATAAAAATGTTATTATAAAATGGACAATTATGACTGGTTTTGTGGTCCAGGGTCACATTTCTGTTGCATGTGAGAGACTTTATGCTTTGGTAACACTTCTTTTGTGCCAATAAATAAGTAATTATAATAATTATGAAGAAAACTGATTATGTTGAAGCCATAATGTTGTAGAGCAGTGGCTATGGTGTCATGTATTGTTCCCACTCTCACTCCATTTTCTCTCCCTGCTTCATTTCCTGTCTGCCCTCAACTGTCTCTGTCAATAAAAGCTAAAACCCAAAATGAAAAAAAAAAATGCTCTAAACTGAGTAGAGTTGGCAAAGGTATTCATGGGCATGCATGCATGCATTCAGAAAAGATTAGCTATTGCTGAAGCTGATGATGGTTGAATATAAAGAGGCTTCATTGTTGTGTGTGAATAGGCTGCATTAGAAAACAAGCATTCACCAAGCATTAATCTTGAGTAGAACAACGTTAAAGACCATGTTGTCTACCTAGGTCATAGTTGCAGTTCTTTGAAATGCAGAGATGTGCAGAATGTTTATTTTCTGTTAAAGTGATGTGTGTTATTTAAAATACTTTCTCATCTCCAACCATAATATGTAGGGACAACAAGTAAGCTTTTTGCTTGTTTGCTTATTGACGTTGCACTGATATTATTATGAGAGTAAAGCTCTGTGGAAAACACTCTGTTTTGTGTTGACAGTAAAGTGAATTTTCCGCTTTCAGATAAAAATATTATTTTATTGCATGAATGAAATAGTCACAAATCCATTTTGCTGAAGAGCAATACGTCTTTCTTAGTGACAGGCTGTGAATTACTGTGTAGACGTATATTCAGACGTGTAATTATCTTCAGCTTTGCACATGGCTTTAGTATATGTGAGCCACACATATCTGACGAATCACATTGGAGATTAAATCTGGGGGGATACAGCTGAGTCAGGGGTTTTCTGTTGCGTTTTCCTATAGAACTGGATGTCACTGGATGTCATTTTTCGGTTCAAATGTTATCAATATTATTCATGCACACACATGTTTGTGGGCTTTGCCTTAGTCTCTGGATTTGATGCTTAAATATATGCATTTATTTTTAATTTATCTAAAAGACAACATGAATTGTTATCATGGCACATTTCACTTCCATAATCTGATGTATTTCCAAGTGAATAAGGACAGTCAATATGAAAATAATATAGTTCAACACTTCATTGGGAATTGATTGGCCTACACATCAAAATGCCTTTAATCCCAAAGTAAGTAGCCATTTGGCTGTTAGTTCAAATTAGTCCGCATGGCCTAAAGCTCAAACTCAGTTCCTGGAGGGCCACAGCTCTGCACAGTTTAGCTCCAAGCCTAATCAAACACACCTGATCCAGCTAAACTTCCAAGCAGGTGTGATTTGGAGCTGGTTGGAGCTAAAACCAGAAACACTGCACAATTTTTGGCTGTCCAAGATGAAAGATTGGCATCGTGAAATAACTGTAGCGATTTCTGTGATCCTGGCTCCTAATGTCCTGTGTCATACAGTAAGAGAGGTTCAAAGATGGCCATTGTCATGGTCTTGCAACCAAAGATAGCCTACGATACAGCATGATCATCGCAAAGTGTGTTTGCTGCTATGATCCACGTTTACTGACCAACCAATAAAAATGCGACAAGAAATCAATGCGACATGGCGCTAAAACATAAAACTGCTTACCTCAAAGCTCTTATGCCTTGCTCTTTCGCCACTTCCACTTTTTTCAGCACACATAAAAACTACAATAGGTCAATAGGTGTCATCATCGTACAATCTACACACTTGTCATAGCCAAGTTTATTAGATCCATGTCGCACAGTGTGACATGCAATGATCTTACAGGATTTCTAAAATCGTGCAGTGTGTCTCGGACTTTAACTCTGCAGAGCTGTGACCCTCCAGGAATTGAGTTTGAGACCACCTAAGCAATGTCAGCAGACAAAGAAAACGGTTTAAGTTGAAGAACATTTTGATGCAGTTAATAACATTTTGTTAAAAAATTTACTCTAAACTATGTTAACTTGTAAACATCTTTCCACTTGTTAAAATTTACCATTTAAATAAATATTTAAAGTGAGAAACTTCATTTAGCAGTACTTTTAATAATTTTAAATCATAACTTAAGTCAAACTTTTTCACTATGTCCAAAATGACCAATTTTAACAATTGAAATACTCTCAACCAGTGCAAATTTGCTACGCAGTGGTAATTTGCACCATTATGCATATCAAAATCATACATGTCCAAAACAACCATACACAGTAATTTAACAATTAAACTGCTGTCGAGCCAATGCAAATTTGCAACATGGTAACCTTCCCCTTTTGCAAATGGCAGTCATTAACACCTGTGTTCTTTATCAAATTAGCTTTTAATAGAGAGTCACTCTGTTTTGCTCTTGTCAGTGATTTTATTTTCCTGTTTCATAGTGAATGTCACTGTAACACAAAGACCACAGCATTCTGAATGCACTATATGAGGACTTGTGTGGGAGATTCTTCTTTTCAGAGCAGGTGATGTGGTAATGGATATATTGAGTGTACAGTGCATATACCGAAGCACAGAGCAAGGTCATTTGGAGAAGTGCTGTGTTGGTGTGTGCTGTGTGTTCAGCTCCCTCCATTAACACTGAGGGTGCTTGGCTTCCATGATACTTACAAACAGAGAAAACAATGGATGGAACCTGCAGACCAAAAATAGCTTCAATGCAATGGACGAAACCAACATAGCTGATGTAGTAGTATGTCTGATAACGTATCTCCATATGTATAGAACATACTTGTACATACTCAGGAATTCTGACCTCATTGTTGTCTAACTCTCTTTTAACATACTTCAGCGGTGTTAGTATTGCAGTCTAGTAGTTTAGGAAGACAGACACAGAGTGAGTTTGTGTGTTTGCATGCTTGTGTAAGAATGCCTCCGAGTGCAACTTAAGCCTGTTTTCACTCCACATGTGTCATATTATTTTGCCCTTCCTATGGTCCAAGGCTCTGTGTGGCAAATTGCTGGAAAATCTATGCAAAAAAGCTCCTTGTTTTATTCATAGAGCTGGAACCTGAGCTGTAGGGCAACCATTGTTTTTGATTACTATCAATATAAAGTCTCTTCCTGTAATTACAGGTAACAGCTACAATGCCTGTAAGGAACATCTAAAAAGGCCAAAGACTAGAAAATTTCACAGTGGAATTTTAACAAAATTACAGTGTTTTAGGGAAAGGAAGAGAGAAAAGTTGGCGGAATGAACAAAAAAAGAAAGAAAGAAAGAAAGAAAGACATCACATCAGATTTGTCACCTTATTTCTGTTTTGGTGATGCTGAAGCCCTTAGTAAGTTAATCCAATGTACAGTAGCAGTTGGAATATCAGTGAGGGGTGTTGTAGAGGGCAGAATTCTGGTTATCATCTGATAATACAGCTTTGCTTTATTTATTCTTGATCAAAAATACAGTGAACTGCAATATTTTAAAATAATATTCCAATTGTAAATGTATTTTAATATGTAAAAAATGTAATGTATTTTTGAGATGGTAAAGCTGAATTTCCCAGCAGCCATTACTCCAGTCTTCAGTGCCACATGATCCTTCCGAAATCATCCTTAAATGTTGATTTTGCTGCTCAAAACATGTTATTATTATATAAGAACAGCATTTATTGGAATAGAAATCTATTGTAACATTATAAATGTTAAAACATAAACATTATAGTCTTTTACTGTTACATTTGCTCAAATTAATCAGTCTGTTTGAATGCATTTCTTTTAAAAACTGGCTAAATAACTATAAATTAATATTTAATAACAAACAATTGAATAATTAGCATTTAAAATTAGATGTATTTCTATTTCTTTTTTTAGTGGACAATATTGTAAAGAACTTTAATATATATATATCACTACTTTACATTGTAGCAAAGTGTCATTTCTTCAGTGTTGTCACATGAAAAGATATAATAATATATTTACAAAAATGTGAGGTGTGTTCTCACTTCTGTGAGATACTGTATATCTATATTAAGACCTACTGTAATGCATGGATCAAATATAATGTTACACATCAGAATTTTCCTCAACCATTAGCGAGCAGAGAAAAAGGTAGGCTACTCCTCTCATAAAACGTACAAATAAAGATCATTTTAGATGTTTAATTACTATTTGGAGCATTGGGATCGCTAGAAGAGGGCTTAATGAACTCATTTTTGTGAAAACCTCAAATTCGAATTTCGACCATAACTGATATTTTTCACTTCTTTTGCCTGTAGCTCAAAATTAGACTGACTGAAAATTATGGTCACATATACAGTTCGCTAATTGTCGGCTTTTTGGTATAGACGAGAAACTGTGCATCCCTAAAATTGAATTCTATTGGATCTTCATCCCAAGCATATACTGATGAATGCATCACAAGGAAGATGAACTCAGTCATGAAATGGCTCCATAGATTCCGCATCTTGTATTTGATGTAAATTATGTAATAGATCTTACTGCAGGCAGTGGGTGATCGCCTCACTTTCTGCCTGTGATAGTTCAATCAAACTGGCCCCATTACTGTTAAATCACCTCCATTTGCATCCCACCAGTAACCACATAAGCAATCCCAAAGAAGCCGAGACATTTCCCCCACTCTCGCTCTCATTCTTCACTCTGCTACATTTGTAGCTCATTTACCCTCAAGCATTGCTGGGGGCTTAGGAGGAGAAAATCTGCTGTGAGAAATATTGTGCTAAGCTCTCGATTTCCTCTTTTAACCGGGTGCCCTTGCTCCGTCTGACCTTCTGACCGTTATAAATGTGTCTGATGTGTTGCAGGGGAGTGAGGAGGGAGATGTGGATAAGAACAAGTGCTGTACACTGTGTAACATGTCCTTTACTTCAGCGGTGGTAGCGCAGTCTCATTACCAAGGCAAGATCCATGCTAAGAGGCTCAAACTTCTGCTGGGGGAACAGCCTGCCATAACAGCCAAAGGTACGTGTTGCTCACACAAACACACACGTAGCACTAAAAAGTTCTTTAGGAGGGTGTTTATGTATGAGGATCTGTCGGAGATGACCGCGGGTAGCTGGAGGATCAGGGCAGGCGTCTGAACGAGCCGGACACTCACAGCATTGCATTGCACATCATTGCTCACCGCCTACTTGCCTACAGGGGTAATTTACCTAAAAATAAGGCGGAAGCAAGTGCATGTGTCTGTCTGCGACTTTGTAAAAGGAGCTTTACTGAAGCAGCCGAGTGAAAGCAGTGTGTTTGAGAATACTGTTGTCACACTGTCTGCATATTTGTGTTTATGTCTGTGTTCATTCTTGCATTAGGTTTCTGTCATGCAGTGCTTTGCTGTGCATGTTAGGTTTCTGACCTGTTTACAGCACAATAGCAATGCGCAGGAAACACTCGGGGATCTGTGGGCTCTCAGAAATCCTTCGCCTGTAGGAGGATGCACAAAGGATATACAGTGTGTACAGTAGAGAGAGGCTTTGTGCGTCATTTCCATTTCAGCCAATGGAGAGAGAGACTGGCTTTCAGTTCCATTCAGCATCCATTAGTCACCAGCTTTCCTGCTGGCTGTGCCTCCAAATGCCCAATGTGTTTATTAATTACACTCGTCACTGGACAGCTGTGCCGCATATGGCATAGTTAGGAGGCCCACCACATCACATCCAGTGTTTAGGATCAATTACACAATTCTAACGCTTGAGATGGAGCCACAGTCTGTCCACTATCTATGTCAAATTGATGTAATCTATTGGGAATACAAGGCAGACTGGTGGATTATAACCACTGTGTATCCTGTGGGATATTATTATTATTAATAATATAAAGTATAAAAAATAGTATTACTTTTTATTTAGATGTATTTTGTATTTTATTATAATAATTTCGATTATGATTTGCCAAATATTGCACATTTATTATAATAAAAAAATAATTTAATGATAAAATACATCTAAATACAATTATTATATTTAGAATTATGTATTATTATATTTAGTTATTTTTATGATTACATTGATTTTATTACAATAAATGTATAATATTTGAAAAACAATTATAATTGTAATAAAAACAGTAAATAAAAATGCATCTAACTAAATAGTAATATTTTATTATTATTATTATTATAGAATATCTAAATAAAATAACTAGTCATATTTATTATAATCAATAATGTTATTAATATAAAAAAATATTTTATGTAGATGTATTTATATTTTATTATTTTTATTATAATTATGCTTATGATTTTTACACAAATATTACACATTATAACAATTAAATCAATTTAATGATAAGAAATACCACTAAATAAAAACTAATAATAATACATTATTATTATTATTATTATTATATAGACGTATTTTTATAATTACATTGATTTTAGTATTATAATGTATACTATTTAAAAAACATATTCATAATTATTATAATAAAAACTCAGTAAAAATACATCTAAATAAAAAGTAATAATAATATTTTATTATTATTATTACAATATATTTATTATAAAATATCGAAATAAAATAAATTAATATTTATTATTGTCATTATTGAATCAATATAAATATAAAAAATTACTTTTCATTTAGATTTATTAATATGTTATTATTCTTATTATAATAATTCTTCTTATGCTTTTTCAAATATTACACATTTATTATAATAATAAAATCAATGTAATGATTATAAAACCTCTAAGTAAAAACTAATAATAAATTATTATTTTTTTATTATTATTTGTATTATTGTTATTATAAAATATCTAAAACGATAAATATTTACCATTATTATTATTTTTTTGTTTTGTTTTGTTTTAGAATTTTTTATTTAATATTACTATTAAAAGAAACTCCTTGTCCTTATCAAATCCGTGCATAATTCGATCATTAGTTTTTTGATTTAATATTGAAAGTAGAAAAATGAGAAAACGGCTCCTTTTTCTTTTTTTTCTTTTTTTTTTTTCCAAAAAACGAAAAATGAAAATTCAGCTTAAATTTTCGTTTTTCGTTCATGGGTGGAAAAATGAATAAAAAACGACTTTACAGTCTGGAAATACTTTAGGCTATAGCAAATTATTTCTCTGACCCCCTATCACTTTAAGAACGCTGGTCTACACAGAAGAAAGACCTGTCTAGACTCTGCCCCGGTACGAGTTGTGTCGAGCTATTCATTATATAGTCTGTTTGATGAGAAAAATATGAAATTGATAAAATGGGTTATTAATCCGTACAATTGCAGCAGTGGAGGACTATTATTCTGCTGCGTGATACTGCAGAAGAACTGATGATGGCACGGTTTGATCTTCGGCTGACCAATCAGCAGAAAGGGGCGTTTAATTCCCGCCCATGTGTAGAAATCGAATATTCAAGCTGTTTAGTCATTTTCCCACCCCTGAACAAAAAACAAAAAAATTAAGCGTAATTCTTGTTTTTCCATTTTGTTTTATTTTTATTACGTTTTCTCATTTTTCTACTTTCAATATTAAATCAAAAAACGAATGATCGGATGATACACGGATTTTATCACCCTGAATGGGCTTATTTTTTATAATGATTGCACATTTATCCATTACTTATCAGCTTCATGGTGCAAATTATTGTTTAATGGTCTTGTGTGTTGCCATGTTAATTTAAAATTCATAGGTTCATTCTTTTCACAGTCTGGTTTTAAATGCGTAGCATATCTGGCTTAAAATGAATTACCACTGTAGTCTTGTTTTTTTCTTTGCTCTCTCTCTCTCTGCTTGTTCCTCCCATGTTTCCTGTCACTGACTGATGCCATCATTAGCTGTGCCATCTGCGTCTGATGGCTAGAGACAGACGAGGCTTGTGTCCCACTCCGAGGGGATTGAGGCAGACCATCAATCCCTCTGACATGTGGCATACTGAGACAGACTAGCTCGGGCCCAGCTTAACTGAGCAGAGAGGAGTTCTCATGAAACTCAGTAAGCTTTTCAGTGCCCTGGCAATCTGGGGACAAACTGTAAACATGTTGCAGTGCCACTTCAACATTTGTTCACAGTAACCAAAAAGTGCTGGTGTTTTTAGAGGGAAAGATGATTTGATTTCTTAAAAATGCAATCTTTGTATTCATGTTGGTTTTATTTCTGAAAACATGTTTATACAATTTTGAAATGTAATTATTGACTTTAAAAATGTTGCGTGATCATTTTATAATGAATTCATGTCATTAAGTTGTTTACTTGTTTGATCTGAACTAACTTTGCCTTCTTATAAAAAAGCAGAAGACTAGGTTGGCTTTTTATAAAAATCATTATCACAGTCACATTGTGACTTTAAGCCCAACAAAAAAATGTCAACATAATTTTAGAAATTGAAACCAGAAGATGTATATTCAAGTCATTGTATCACTTATAATTTAAGGTATTTTAATAATCAAGTTAAAAAATAATTGTGAATGCGAGTAATTTAATGCTCAATGATGATGGTTTTAAGAAGTTACGCCCGTTTCACACCGCACGTGTAAGCAGAGCAGAGGCAGCGCAGAAGCGGTGCGTATGCAGAGCGGGAGTAGCGCGCGCCCATTGTGCTTTCACACTGGCAGCGTTTGTCGCGCAGCTGAACCGCGGTTTGTGTACTGCAAATACAGACGAGTATCGTTCATTCGGTCACGCTTTTCAGGTGTTCTCCGACAACTGTCTGTCATGTGCTTTGATATGGGCAGCATGCTGTGATGCAGCCGTGTTCCCCTCTGTCACGTGCATGTAACATGCTGTACATATAGTTAACATGATAAAAAGTAATCTTAAAGTTAATAAATGCCTCTAGTTTTAATAATTTAAACAGGCCTTTGAAGTTTGGGCAATAACTCCTGGCAGTGATGTGTTTTCGTGTAGTTGATTCTGTGCTAACTCTAATATATATATATTTTTTTAATGTTGTAGATTTAAGTAGCAAATGAGAATCGCTAAAATTATTGAATATATTTTGAGACAAAGGTCTTCTTAATGATTATCAGTTTGGTTTAAGATAATTAAAGCAACAGTTTTTCAATAACTAGAAGAATATGTAAAAGTATGGTATTTGGGGTAAAAGCGCCCCTGCTGTTGGGGCGAAAGGCACAATAATTAACATGATAATTAATAGATGGCTGACTTTTCCAATTGTTGACATGACACATGGTTAGATTCAGATGGTAAATATCATATAGCCTATTATGTTGGGTGTCCACCTTAGAGATAATCACCATGTTTATAATGAAACCATCATATTTAAAAACATGATATTAATAATATCATATAATAAAATATAATTTGTTGTTACT